AGCGGAAAGAACCATCTTGACTCCTGCACTCAAAGTCCCACGAGTCAGATCCGTCCGTAAAAGTCAAAACATTAGTACCATCTGGGAGTGTATTGCCACCATAAGAAGACCTCAAGCTTGCTTCATGGTGTTTTTCAAGAGTCACTTCTAGGATGGTCGCCATTATAGAACGCTTCACAAACTTTTAACCCTTAGAAGATTGTAATCTATTGCACTTAATTATCGAGCTCTCTGTGATGGTGATAGTTTTCATAAGAAAGTGAAAGAAATATGGGAAAGACAACAGAATATATAGACAAAAAAAAAAAGAAAAAGCAAGAAATCAGGCCTGCTAACCTACAACGGGAGAAATTCGTCTCATTGTTCCTCGTTTTGTCGCCATATGTTAATTGATGGGCATGTGGCTCGTTACATAATAAAAGAAAAAGAAGAAAATAAATTGTCCGTAGAACTGTTCCAAGAGTTTAGTTATTTGTAACAGTAAAAGAGAGTAGAGAAATGGTCACTATTTTCATTTTCGTTCAAGGGCAACCGTTCTTAAAATCAGTTACAATCAACCAAGGAAAATTTGTGTGGGATTTAGTTAATCTCTTATCATCAATGTTGATGTTTTAGATCGGAGTAGTTTTACATTAAATTTAAAATGGACGGTGATGATTTATATATAACCTTCTTTAATCAATTCCAATATTAGAATAAACGGCAAAGCATGGTTTACAAGCTGTGTTTTGGGTAGCAAAGCATGGTTGTTTTAATTGTTGACCAGAGGAAGCCTCCTAATAATTCAAAAGTGCACATAAATTTCAGGCATCAAGGCCCTCATAGACTATCATTGACAGACCAAAATAGAGTTGAGGGGAAAAGATGCAATTGCCATCTTTAGTATATGAAACAAAATTAACTTCCACAAAAACAAATTTCACTTTCATGAGCATTTGAGTATGCATTTGTCAACTCTATACTGTATTCTTATTGATGTGTACTCCGTGAAGCTCATATATGTCTGCTATCTATTATGCAGAAATGATTGTGGTGGAAGAGCTTTACAAGGAAGCTGTAATGAATACCACCAGAAAACTTATTCAATGGAGAACTTGATCGTATCTGATCTGGGTGTATACTTGGTGAATCTTAAATTGTTCTTGCTAATTTTGAATTCAATTTCATCTACATAATCGTTTCACTCATTTAGGTTTCAAATGACAGTTTCTTGATGCCCTCCTATTGTCACCCTGTGAATTAGTCTTTAAGATCTCTAGCTGGGTTTTTGAGAAAATTAATGAGTTCATGTTTTATTTACTTCTAAAAATAAAGAAAAATCTATCCTATACTAATAGAATTTTCATCTGCATTCTATCATCTTGTTGTAGTGGTAGACAGTTGAAATATTATAAATAGTTGTCCTTAACTGGGCTAAGATTATCCACCTTTCTTCTACCCTAAACTGGCAGCACTTACCAACACCCTCCTGCCATGATGGAGACCGTATATTACATAATTTAATTTGCATGCCGCTTGAGGATTCCATGCATACTAATGCGGCAAGCATAATTAATCACCCCTCTGCCAGTTATTGCGACCAGACCAGTCTCTATTACTACATATATCTATCCGTTATAGCATGATGTGAATATGACAGTGAAACATCCTACCCATAGCCCATAGCCACTGAATGTTAAATAAATCAAATTCTTTTGTGCCAGTAGAAACAGTTAAAAATCCTCATTTTGGCAAGTAAGAGCAGCCTCCTCTAACTTCCTTAACTACTAGTAATTAATAAACATCAATCATTTAGAAAGTCGCTAGTAAAGAGACCATTTTCTACCCCATTTAAAGTTAAGGGATCCACAATAAAAAAGAGGCTGGAAAAATCCGGGTTGTTGCAGGGCCTGGCCAGGATCACCTCCCCCCTTTAATGGAGCTCTGCAACCGCCTTTCCACCAATCTACCCTCATTATTCCCTCTTCTCTCTCCACTTTCCATCCCTTACCAATCTACCCTCATCATTTCCTCTTCTCTCTCCACTTTCCATCCCTACCTCTTTCTCCCGTAAAAATAGTTCCTTGGGAGTACTCTCTAGTCAATAATATTTTTTTTTTCTTTTTTTCTTTTCCAAATAGAGGAATTGCTAACTAACTTGACCTCAAAACCTTTGAGCAAGTACTTGTAGGAAGCACTGTGCTGGACCTTCCATACTCCCCGGACCTGTCCGTGCACATAATAAAATTAGAACATGTTCCTTGCATTTGTTGTACGTTTACCTTATCGCAGACATTGTGTCTAGCAGTAGTGGATTTGATATTTAATTTTGAGGAAGTCAAAACAATATTTTATAATAATTTTTTAAAAATATATTAAATTTATTAATAATAAAAAATAAATGTAAACATATAATAATAAAATTTATAATTATAAATAAATATATATATATATAATAACATGGATATATTAAACAATTGGTCTCTTGATTTTTAATTGTAAACCATTAATAATATTTTTTTATAAAAATAAAATCATTATATATTTTTTTACAATACTAATACATTATTTTACCATCTTTAATATTTAAAATATTAAAGTAAAAAAATCACAAAAATATTTTTTTATATAAAAAATTAAAATTTAAAAAATAAAGTATAGATTTTGATACAATAAATAGAAACCTTTTAATTTTTTATGTTGTATTTTTATAATATGAAAAATGACAAAAATTTTAAATTAATCATATTAATTATTTTAACATGTAATAATTTTCAAATAAAATGAGCATGCATATAGTAAAAAAATTGGTTGAAAAAAAATCACAATTGAATATTTGTCAAGTTGATTTTAGTTATTATAATATTTACATATATATTAAACTTAAATTTACATGTTTGTGAAAATATAGTGTTAGACAAATTTATTCATTTTAAATTAAAAATCATTTATAATAAGTAAACACAAATTAAACATTTGTAATTTTATTTTGAAATTAAGAGTTGTAATATTTATATACAAATAATTTTTGTAACTATATAGTCAATATAAATAAATAAAGTAAAGAATAATATATAGCAACACAATAAACTTAAGTTTGAAGGGGCCAAACTAATTTTTTTATTAAAAAAATTTATAATTATTATGAAAATCACATGTATATAAAAAAACTCAAAAATTTTTAAGGGCCATGCTCCTTAGAGCATCTATCGTTGTATAAATATAAATTTAATAAACATATATAACATATTATTAATTAGTCCCCTCAAATTTATATATTAAGATTCGTCATTGAATGATAGGGATATTTTTGTTCCTACACTATATCCTTAAGGGTTAAAAAGAATATAAAAAAAAGAACACAGGTAATGTCGGAAAATTAAAAAAAAATTATTTTTAAAAAATTCTTAATTTACTCTTAAACTCTTTTATCCTATTATTTACTTAGTTAAAGAAAACATTACAGATGTAAATTTACTTTTAAACTCTTTTATCGTATTATTTACCAAGCACGTATATCTGTAAGGCTCTACTTTTTCTTCCCATTTAATATCTTTTGTTTACCCTTATCTCAAATGTTCAAATTTGATTGTAAATTTGAATCTTTTTTGGTCCTAATTTGTGAATTTCATAATGGGTTTATCATGAAATGTTCTTATCTTATCTGCGTTGTTTTCGAATTTCATGCTGTTGAGTTGAGTTGTATGAAATGCAAATCCCTTTTTTTATTTTTAATGTTTCTGGGTTTACTCACTGGTAAAGTTTCGTTCATTTGCATGGTGACTTCGACTTCAATTTCTTGAAGATTTTATTTTATTAGTATTGTCTATTAATCTCGGTATATGTCATGAATTTTTATTTTTATCTGCTAGCAAAACTTAACAATTATTCTCAGAGAATGGATTCTCTTCCTGATGCCATTGTTCAGTACATTTTGTCACACTTGAACAATGTTCAGGATGTTGCAGTTTGTAGTTGTGTATCCAAGAGATGGAACAACTTATTGCCTACCTTCGAAGTCTCTACTTTCCTCGCAACTCCTTTGATAGCCACTCTGGCAGTGATAGCCAGGACACTATTGTCTGGAAAATGCTTTGGACAATTGCATGTTTAGAGGAGCTTGCTGTTTACGGTTCATTCACCATCGCAGGCCTTTCTTCATGGCTATTGCTGGTGCATTCATCACTCAAGAATCTTGAGCTCAGAATGGATAATATTACTGATTATCAGGCATGTGTTGATAGCCCTTCCAAATTGGACTGCATTAGTGCAGCTAAGAATTTGGAGTGTTTGAAGCTTACGGGTGTGCTAATGGCTAATCCACCAAAGTGGGGTATTTTTAAAAAACTTCAAAGCCTTGAAATGGTTGGAGCAAGATTGGAGGATCCTGCATTGTCTGCTGCACTTAGGGCACGCCCTAATTTGACTAACTTGGTATTGCTTGGTTGTGAAGGCGTCAGATCAATCTCAATTGAGTTGCCGTACTTAGAGCAGTGTAAGCTGGACTTTTATGGCTTGGGGAATTGTTCCCTTTCTCTCACTTGTCCGAAAATTGAACTCCTTAAGGTGCAAGGTTGTAGTTGGATTAGAGTTCGTGACAATGAGACTACATGCTTGAGGAAACTTTCAATTGCGAACAATGCTGGTAATTATTCTGCCTATAATTCTACTATGCTGTCCTGTTTTGTGTTGGATTTCTTTTGGCAGATGAAGAAAGAGAACAACAATTAGAATTGGAATTTTAATTCTCATATGCGTTCTGATGCTTTTCGGTAAAGTATACATGGTAGACTTTGGGAAGTTCTCAGCCCTTGAATTCTTGTCCATGAGGGGGGGTTCAATGTTGTTGGGAGGCTCAGAGCTTCCCTTATTTTTGGACGACTCCCATACCATTCTGTACTGAAAGGCTTCTTTTTGTAATCAAGAACAATTGCTTGTGAAAGACCCTTATCAGACGGGACTTTTTTACCAACTTCTTTTGCTTGCTTAGACTTTGATAAAGACCCAGTACTATTTCTTGGTCATGGACGTACTGCAACCATGAATAATCCTGGTATACGCCAAAATAAATTATGTAAAACAAATTTATAGAGTTGAGACAAACGAAACAGATGAAATTGAAGATTGCAAGAGCAAGACAGAAGAAAAAAAAAGCAAGAAAAGAATTTCGTACATACACAATAAGAAAAAAACAAGTAAAAACAAACGTATAGCTTTTCTTTTGGCTGAATACTATTGGACATGAAGCAATAAACACATCAACGTAGAAGTAATATATCGCAATAAATCATAACAATAGATAACAATCAACAATCAACAACGCAAGAAAAATAAAGCACACTAAGATTTATGTGAAAAACTCTCCAGTGTAGAGGAAAAAATCATGAACCACTAAAAAAATCTCTATTATCAAATAATGAATATACCAAGTTCTTCTCTAGTTAAAACTAGAGCTAATCAACAACTAGAGAGACAATTGAAAAAATCTCACTAAATAGGTGACTCAACAAATACATCCTAGATTTGTTCATAGAGAGCTTCAAACTCGATCTTCACCGTTCAGAATGTAGAACTCTTAATTATAAACCTGCTGATAAAATTTCAGCTCAATTAGACTACGGATCGACTTTCGTTCAATCAACTCTCCTTTCTCTCTTTTCTCTCTATCTTTTTGGCTTTTTTCTTTCTCTTCTTAGTTTTTGATACCACATTAAAACAATCTCACCTCTTTTTATTAAGTAGCTAGGGCTCTGTATAAAAAGAAATATTAAAGGCCATAACCTTTGCTTGGTCCAAAACTAATTACATGGGGCTAGATTTCATTTTCCTAACAATCTCCCCCTCTAGCCCCATTAGGAAAAGATTCATCACCATAGCAGTTTCATTTAGAACTTACCTTGACTAAGAAACTCATTTCAGTCAAGTTACTGCAGAGCTCAAGCTTTTTCTTGGAAAGTATTTTAGTCAACATATCTACTACATTCTTTAACAGCATATGTTGTTCCTCAATCATTAAATGTAACCAGTGATATCTAACATCAATGTGCTTCGTTTTAGTATGATACATGGTATTCTTACTCAAATCTAATGCACTTTGGCTTTCACAAAATACCACATAATTTTTCTGATTCAACACTAATTCAAGAAGAAAACATTTCATCCAAAGCATTTCTTTACCTGCTTTGGTTGCTGCAATATACTTAGCCTCTATAGTTTACAAAACAACATACTTCTGTAACTTAGACTGTCAAGACTAGGAGTGTAAATGATACATTAGTATTCGCAAGCTATTCGGATTCGATTTGAAGAAAACTCGAATTCGATTCGATTATTATCGAGTCGAGCTCGAGCTTGAGTAGCTCGACTTATCGATCGAGCCGGATTTGAGTATTCTTATATCCGGCTCGAGTAGCTCGCGACCCTAATCGAGCTTTTCTATTATATATTTATTTTTATTATTTTATTTATAAAATTACTTTTTTACCCTTAGCTTAAAAAACCCTAAAATTTTATTTTCTTTCTTTCTCTCTTCTCCTTCAGTCTTTTTCCCCGTCTCTCTCACTCACTAACAGCCTTACTTGCAGCGCCTTTTCTTCCCGAATCCCATTCCATTGTCTTCCAAGCTTGTTCCATCCTTTCGAAAGCCCTTTCTCCTCTATCCAAAAAGCTTGAACAGAATCGGATCTTGAACAGAACCCATTCGACGTTTGCAGCAGCTTCAACAGAACCCATTCGATGTTTGCAGTAGCTTCAACAGAACTTGATCTTGAACAAAACCCGATCCCTCAACGAAGCCCTGCTCGTTCCACCCATTCGACATTTGCAGCAGCTTCAACAGAACCCGATCCTTCAATGAAACCCTGTTCGTTCCACCCATTCGACGTTTACAGCGGCTTCAACAGAACCCGATCTTGAACAGAACCCGATCCCTCAATGAAGCCCTGCTCGTTTCACCCATTTGACGTTTGTAGTAGCATCCATTCGACGTTTACAGCAGCTTCAACAAAACTCGATCCCTCAACGAAGCCCTGCTCGTTCCACCCATTCAACGTTTGCAGTAGCTTGAACAGAACCCGATCTTGAACAGAACCTGATCCCTCAACGAAGCCCTGCTCGTTCCACCTATTCGACATTTGCAGTAGCTTGAACAGAACCTGATCTTGAACAGAATCCGATCCCTCAACGTAGCCCTTTTTCCTCTCTCTAAAAGCTAAGCTTGTTCCACCCATTCGACGTTTGCAGTAGCTTGAACAGAACCCGATCCCTCAACGTAGCCTTTTCTCCATGACATACTTTTTGAGTGCCATTTTTTTATTAAATGTTTTTATGTTAGGCTTTCAATTCATGCTAAAAGGTGGTTTAAATAAGAATGCCTTAATTAAATACCTTTATGAATGCCTAAATTAAATACCCTTATGAATATTGTGGGGATGCAGATCGAGAACAACAATGAAATGGGGAAGGTGTTATAGCTATTTGTTAGTATTGATATTCTCAATTCTGATTGTTTGTCAAACACTATCATATTATACTTTTATTTTTGTTGCAAACTTGTGAAAAGCAGTATGTTCTTGTGAAGTTGCATTTAAATATTGAATTTTTGTAAACCAAAAGTCTCTAATTATTAGCAAGAAAGTAATTGAATTTGGGCCACTTCAAGACTTGCACCAATACGCTTTATCAGTAGAAAAACTTTGGATGGGTTCATATTATTTAACAAAAAAAAAGGTCATTGGCTCTATTGTTTTTAGTCATAATCATAATTTGAGCTTCCATATAGTTCATCACTAATTTATTGGGACTGTTTAATGTGAATACTTTTCTTCTTTATGCATATTAGATTTGTTAGAATATAACCTGACACTTATTTCTAATGAGATTGAGTTAATGTTATATAAATACTAAATAGGCATGTATAATTGTAAAAATTAATAAGAAATATTCATTTTAAGAAATTGATTTTAGAAATTGAAATTATTATCGAAGTAGGTAATCTTAAATTTATTAAAATTCCTGCAATATTAGTATATTTTCCCAAAGAATAAAATTTTATACTCTTCCAATAATTTGTTCTCGCAACTTATTTAGCATGTTTCTGGCAATAAAATTTACCGCACATGTTTCTAACAACTTGTTTGCATTATTGTTTGATCCTAAAATTATATTATTGTTTTGATTTGTCTTTTTTTTTTTTTTTGCTATAGGGAACTAAACATGTCATCAACCACACCGGATATCTCTTCTATACCAGTTCAGCCGACAATAAATTCTTTTACTAGTCGAATTGTGTCAGATGATGGTAATGATTCAATGAATGAAGCTTTAGATGCCACTAATGGTAACACAGATAAAACACCAGTCATTGATGCCAATGATAGAGAATGTGATAATGCTGACCTTGAAGAGTGTGAAGAAAGTAATGAGAAAAAGAGGCAAAAGACATCTGCTGTTTGGTTAGAGTTCAAAGAAGTCACTCTTTCTGATGGTTCCAAAAAAAGAGAGTGTGTCCATTGCAAGAAGAAGCTAGCAATAAATACAAGTAAAAGTACAACTCAATTTAAGAGGCATTTGATAACTTGTGTTAAGAGAAAATTTTTTTAGAATCAACAATAAATGATCAATTTTCAGCCAGTAAACACATGTGGTGATGTACAGATACTACATGCTCTCACAGATGGCAAGTTTGATATGGTAAAGATGAGAGAAGCAGCTGCACATTGGATACTTATGCACGAGCATCCTTTTTCGATTATAGAAGAGGAAGATTTTAACATGATGCAAAAACGTGGGATGCCTGAATGGGGAAAGGTATCACATAATACTATTAAAAAGGATTGCATGCAAGTTTATGAAGTAAAAAAAAAGAAATTAAAGGCATTGTTGAAGACTGTCAGCAAGATTATTTTGACAATAGATTTGTGGAAATCAAGTAATCAAAAGATTGAGTACATGGTTCTTACAGCACACTTTGTAGATTCTAATTGGAGATTGCAAAAATGTGTTATTAGCTTTGTTCACATACCTCCTCCTCGTCGCAGTGTTGAGATTGCTGATTGTATTTTTAAGTGTCTAAAGGAATGGGGAATTGAAAACAAGGTGTTTACACTTTCTGTGGACAATGCTTCAAGCAATGATGTAGTGATTAGAATTCTTAAAGACACTTTTTCAAAAAATAAGATGTTGCTTTGTGGAGGAAAATTATTTCATGTTCGGTGTTGTGCACATATCTTAAATCTCATGGTTCAAGATGACCTTTCTGAGATTAAGAATGTGATTGGTGATGTTCATGAAAGTGTCAATTTTATTAATCAAAATGAGGCAAGACTTAACTCATTTTTTGATATAGTACAGCAGTTATAGTTACCTGATAGAAAACTCATTCTCGATTGTAAAACACGTTAGAATTCGACATTCGAGATGTTGTCGATTGCAATCAAATTCAAAGAAGTGTTTTCGAGACTCAAAGAGCGAGAATCTCATTATGAATGTTGTCTAAGTCATGAAGATTGGGAAAAGGTGGAGAAAGTTTGTGAGATTTTAGAAGTTTTTAATTCAGCCACTAAAATCATCTCTGGAAGTGATTATCCAACTTCAAACCTATTTCTGAATGAAGTTTATCGTGTGAAAGTGTTGTTGGATAAAATGATGAATGATGAAAATGAATTTGTTCAAGCAATGGTTCGTAAGATGAAGAGTAAATTTGAAAAGTATTGGGGAGAATGTAATTTGTTGATGTCTATAGCAGCAATCTTGGATCCAAGGTGCAAAATGAGGGCGATTGAGTTTTGCTTTCCTCGAATGTACCCTGATAGAGAAGCAAAAGAAAATATTGCTAAAGTTCGAGATGCCCTTTATGAGATTTATGATGAATATGCTCGTGAGTATCAATTTGGCAATAAGCATAGTGCTGAAACTCAAGTGCATGATAATGGTATTAGTGGTATGAATATAGAAGCTTCTTCTTCTGGTTGGTTTAAATTTGCAAATTATGTAAAATCAGTTGAAACTGCTCAATCACAATAATCTGATTTAGATGTCTACCTAGCTGAGGGCTGTTTTATCTGTGAAGGAGATTCCACTAAGTTTCATGTTTTGGAATGGTGGAAAGCGAGCACTTTGAAGTATCGTATTTTATCCAAGATGGCTCGAGATATATTTGCTATTCCTATCACTACAGTGACTTCAGAAGCTACCTTTAGTGCAGAGGTAGAGTTATTGATACTGATCGTGCTTCTTTATCTCCTGACACAGTGCAAGCATTACTTTGTGGAGGAGATTGGTGTCGGAATCTTCATGGAGTGAAGAAGAAGAACAAAGTGAGTTTTTTTTTATTATTATTTTGTTATTAGGTGACTATCATTGCTTTAATCTAATTTTTAACTATTATTTTCCTTTACTTTATCTATGTAGAAGAGAAGAAATCAATTGAGATTGCACTCAAAATCCCCTAAAGTGAGGATATCTAATGTCTTCTATACAGGTATGAAATATTATTATTAAATACTTTTAATTTGTCACAACATTACTAAAGAAAAATAGGTAGTAGCTAGTCTAGATTGAGCTTTTTGCATTATAATTTACGAACCATAGGTTAATTAATTGTAGACACCCAATTTGGTCCAGGTCCGGATCAATTGGGCCTGGCCCAAATAGGTAGGTATATGTTTTTTATTTTATTTTATTTTTGTTTTTATTTTATTTTATTTTATTTTTATTTTAGCTATTTACTTATTAATAAGTATATATCTTTATTATTATTTTTTCTTTCTGTTAATATTTTTTTGTATATCAGATTATGTATTTAATTTTAATTATCTGTTAAGTTTCCTGGTTTATCTGATTTATTTTCTTTTGATTTTTTTTCTTTTTTGATTTATCTGACTTGGATTGGGATTCAATCAATTAGAGTCTAGATTGGACTCAAAGATTGAATCCCCGTCCAAAGAAAAATTGGGATTGATCAGAAACTCCTAATAAATTCCTATAAAAGGGACCTCTTGGAACAGAAGCAACACAGAAAAAAATAGTGAGCAAAGCTACTGATTTGAGAGAAAAAGAGGCGTATAGAAAGCTAGAAAAAGGTTTAGGAGTGTTCTGGGAGTTAACAGAATTTTTTGAAGATTTTTTGGGCGATTTTTTTTTGGAAATTTTTGGAAAATTCCAGATTTAGGTTGAATTTTTCGACGAAGTTTAAATTTTTCGACGAAGATTTCGACCAAATTTGAAGTTTCCAACGAGCTGCCCAGTTTCCGACGAAGGATTCCAAAAACCGATAACCTTCCGACCAACTTTTGGTGAAATTTTCCAGATTCCGGTGACATTTTTCAGAATCCGACGAAATTCAACCGGAGTTCTTCAGCCTTTAGAGAGAAGGAAGAGAAAGAGGGAAGAAGAGAGAGAGAGGGGAGGAGCTTTCTACCGAAAAACATAGGGAAAGACCTTATATACCCTTTCAAAATGACGTCGTTTTGGCCTTAAGTGACTCAGAGGATCCGCGCGTTTTGTCGAGACCCGACTCGACCCGAGCGTCGACCCGCTTCCTGACCCGCGCGTGCCTGCCCCCCTCCGAGCCAAGCCGAGCCGAGCTTCCCAAGCAGCCCCAGAGCCGTTTCTCTTCTTTAAGTCGAGTCGAGCCGAGCCGATAGCCGAGCCACTCCAGGTTTTTTTTATTTTTAGATTTTTTTATTTTTTTATTAGATTAAAATTATTTAATATTTTTTATCTTTATCTTA